TAGTGCACTCTTCCTCTCCACTGCCATTCCCCCTGTCCATTCAACCAGGTTCTAACCCTCCCTGCCTTCCCATCTCACCTCTGGACAGAAGCTGCCTGTTGAGTCTCTTGTATCTACTTGAGCTAAGAGGCACACTCCTCACGAGCATCACTTTATGTCCCACAGTCTAGTCCAATCCCTGTCTGAAGAGTTGGTCTCAGAAATTGTTTTAGTTCTAGGCTGATAGAGAATCCAGGGGCCATGCTTTCGGGAGTACTTCCAGTCTCAGACAATTAAGTCCGGTCTTGAACTAGAATTTGAGTTCTGTACCCCACCTTTCTCCTGCTCCATCAGGGACTCTGTTGTGTTCCCTGTCAGGGTGGTCATTGGTGGTAGCTGGGCACCATCTAGTTCTTCTGGTCTGAGGCTGATGCAGTCTCTGGTTTATGTGGCCCTTTCTGTCTCTTGGGCTACTACTTTCCTTGTGTCTTTGGTGTTCTTTATTCTCCTTTAACTCCAGGTGGTTGGGACCAATTGATGCATCTTCGATGGCCCCTTGCAAGCTTTTAAGACCCCAGACACCACTTACCAAACTAGGATGCAGAATGTTTTCTTGATAAGCTTTGTTATAGCAGTTGACCTAGATGTTGGATTTTGTTTTAGAGTGTATTTTATCTGAGACTACTAATTTTGCTACTTCGGCTCTTTTTTGGCAGGTGTTTACTTGATGTTTTTTTTTTCCATTCTTTGATTTTTATTAAATTTATGTTTTGTTTCTAAAGTGTGTCTCTTCTAGGCAGCGTATTGATGGATCTTGTCTTTTTATTCATTCGGTCACTCTGTGTCTCTATCAGTGCATTTAGGCCATTTATATTCAGTGTAATTATTGATAGGTGTAAGTTTATTGCTGTCATTTTATAGTGCTTTTTTGTATGGTGTTGGTATTTTCTTTGTTCCTTTTTCTCTGCTGTGCTGAATTGCTTTTGTTTGTGGGGTTATTTTCATTGGTTTTGTTTTTATATATTTTGTTTTTACTGAGACCTTACATTTTTTCTTTTATTTGATAAGTAGATTTGTTATCTTTCTTTGTGGTTAGCTTGAAATTTACCCTTATTTTTCTAGGTTTGAACTAGTCTATTATTATTTGGTTATTGCCTTGTTTTTCTTTCCATTAGAAAATTCTATCCCTACACGGTTTATTCTCTATTTTATTGTTCTGACGTTGTCATTTACAGCTTAACCTCTCTGGTTCCCTGCTGTAATTCTTTTAGTTTTGGATAGTGCTTGAGAGTTCATTTCCTAGGTTGGTATCTGGTTAGTACAATCTTGCGTCCTAGATTCAGGCTGATGTTATTTGTTCCTTTTAATAATTCTTGTAAATTTGGTTTAGTGTTTACATATTCCCTTAATTTCTGTTTGTTTGAAAATTTTCTTATTTTACCATCATATTCAAATGAGATTTTTGCAGAATATGTTATTTTAGTTCCTTTTTTTCCCTGAAAGTTTTATATATCCCATTGCTGCCTTGCCTGCATGGTTTCTGCTGAATAAGCAAAGCTTAGTCTTACTGTGTTTCTTCTGTGTGTGATTTTTTCATTTTTCTCTAGTTGCTCTCAGGATTCTTTGTTTGTCTTCGGTTTTAATGTGTGATTATGATACGCCTTGGTGATTTTCTTTTGGGGTCTATCGTATATGGGGTTTGTTGAGCTTCTTGGATGGTCAGCTTTTCATCTTTTCGTGTTATTTAGGAAAGTTTTCTGTCAGCAATTCTTCCATGATCATTTCTGTGTGTTGCGTTTTCTCCCCCTATTCTTGAACTCCAGTCACTGGCAAATTTTGCTTTTGATTGTATCTTGCATAATTCTCAGAGTTTCTTCATTTTTCTTTTTTCTGATTTTTCTTCAAAGTTGTATCCAAGTGTTTGTCTTCAGTTTCATTGGTCTTGTTTTCTGTTGTTTCATACCTACTCCTCAGACCTTCTGTGACTTTATTTCTGATATATTTTGTTGCTTGTCTTTTAGCTTTCTAAATGTTGTTTTTGTATAATTTCTAGTTGTGAAGTTGTTATTTTACTTCTATGTTATTTTCTTGAATTCTCCCTTTTTTTGGTCTGTGTTTTCTATGAATTTATTTTTTTCTTATTTTTGTCTGCTTTTTGTCTCAACTTTTGGTTAGCTGTCAGTAGTAGAGATTTTAATTCTCAGGTAGTTCTGGTACCTTTTCTTCATTTGGAAAGTCATCTGATGTTTTCTCTTGGATGCCTACTGGAACCATTTTCTCCTGTTTTTGTAATGTATTGATATTGTTTGCTGTCTTTGTGACATTTACTAGCTATTTTTTTCATTTATTGATTGTAGATTTGTTTTATCTTGCTTTTTTGTTTTATTTGGTTATGTCTGAACAGACAGGCTGTGCGTTCTTTGTTGTTTGCTCGTCTGTGGGTATGATACTTTTCACCTCATTGTTCAGTGGGCAGGACCAGTTGCTCAGCTATGGTGCAGCAGGTTATGTCCAGCTGAATGAAAGGGGATGGGTAGGTTGTTTGTGGCATGTACTAGGTCCGACAGGGCAGTCTGGGAGTCAGTGCAGGGCAGGTTCCGGTAGCCTGTGCTGCTGGGGGGTATGATGTTTAGCACATGGTGTAGGTTGGCAGGAAGGAGGCGGGAGGCTGTGATGTGTGGACCTAAGATGGGTATGGAAAGAAGATAGACAGCAGAGAGAAACAAGAACCAAAACAAACAACAACCGAAAAAAAAAGGAAAAAACAACAAAGATTGCTAAGGGAGCTTGGTACTGGAGTAGAAAAACGAGAAACCAAGAAACGGAGAAAAACAAAAAGGAAAAAGAAATTAAAAAAATTAAAAAAGAAGAAAGGAAAGCTTCCAACTATCCCATCATTGTAGCTGCTCAGACCAGGGAAGTGGCCCTCCTGGCCGTGCAGTACAGCCTGGCTAGAAGGGGCAGAGATGTCACACAGTGCCAGGTACTCGAGGGACAGGAAAAAGAAGTAAGTATAGAGAGACTGAGAAATAAAGAAAAAGAAAAAAGGAAAAATATAAGAAATGCCCCCAGAGATCTCACCGACACAGCTACGTGGAGCGGGGACATGGCTCTCAAGCCACACAGTACAGCATGGCTAGAACGGGTTTTCAAGTCATGAAAAGAAAAAGAAAACAGAACAAAACAAACCAAAAACAATCAAAAAAGGCCCCGGGGATCCCATCAGCATGGTGGCATGGACCGGGGAAACAGTTTCCCAGCTGATTGGCATTTCACAGCCTTTCAGGAAGAGGCAAAGATGGCACACAGAGCCAGGCGTTCGAGAGAAAGGAGGGGGAGGAGGTGAGAGGCAGGGAAGAAACCAGAAGAAGCGGAGAAAAGTAACACCAGCAACAAAGAAGTGGCACTGAGAGCCAGGCAGTGTGGGTGGGGTGAATCCAAGCGGCATAGAGCTGGAGCTGGTGCATCCCAGCCAAGAGACTTCAGCTAGTGGGAGGCGGTGGAGGCTGAGAGGGAGGAAGAAGGGTGAGGGGTGAGAGAGCATATGTCACTGGTTATTGAGTGTGCTGTGTCCTGGTGGGAGCTCCATGAAGCTGCTTTCCCCTGCTCCTTGTCCACCTGTTTCTGACAGGAGGCAGGGATGGTGAATCTGTGCTGCGTTAGCTGATTGGGAGCCTCGGCTGGTATCTCTCCTCACTCTCTGTTCTCTGTCAGTTTCTTATTCTATTTGGTGCATGGTTGAATTCTTTGTCTCTTCATTTGACACTTAGGGTTCGAAGGTTGACGTTTATCTGTTTTACTTAGTTTTTCGGGTCTTTGCTGTGGAGGGATGGCATGCTGCTTCTATCTATAGCACTGTGTTGGCTCCTCCTCCCTGCATAATATTTTAAAGGATGATACATTTATGTTAAAGATTAAGTATGTATTTTAGGTTTTTTTTTTTTTTTTTTTTTGCTAAAGACAATTTACAGACTTTAATACAAAATGATCATGGACAGTTTGACAGAATGACTAGAGGTCCATGAGGATAGTATATTTTGAGATCCGCAGGATGAATTCATATTGAGGAAAGTTGCTTTCATCTGTGCTGTGTCTGGTTCCTTGTTGCTGTGGGTCTGCTTAGATTGAATCAAATACAACTATTAAGAGTCTATGCTCCTTTGCATATAAAATATGCAGAATTTTTGTTTGTAAAATTTTTTTGACTGGAAAATCACCTTGTTGCCTTGCCTGAAGCAGTCTGGTATATGCAAAAGGCTTTTATTTCAAATATACATTATCAGATTGTTTCTAAGACTGTTTTGAGGTCCGTAGTGATTTAAATGCCAGGGACTCACTTTAGGAAGGGTTGGAAGTGATTAGAAAATTTAAAGTCTTGAGAATTGGGGCTGTTGTAAAGGGAGTTTGCATATTTATGATGATACATTAGCTCAAACATCTTAGGTAAAATCAGCTGTTTTCAGATTTCATGCAGATTAAGAATTGATTAATTTGAGTTTTAGGTCTTTACAAAAAAAGGTATAGGCCTGCCTAGATTGCCTTTCACCTTTGTAGACAAATCACCATTGAATGACATTGTTATTCTATTTCATGTCTTAATGGTCCTTAGCAAGAAAAACATCTTGTTGAGATTATGCAAGATTATGTAAAGATGTTAAGAAAGAAATCTTAAATGAAAACAACAGAACCAAGAAAATGTTTATTTACTCTGATTGTTTTTCTTTTTATCTTGCAGCAACGCACCTCTTGCTTTTTCCTCCAAAGTATGTTATGTTAAGTTTCGTGATCCATCAAGTGTTGGTGTGGCCCAGCATCTAACTAACACGGTTTTTATTGACAGAGCTCTGATAGTTGTTCCTTGTGCAGAAGGTTAGTATCTCACATGTTTTTCCTATTGTTTTGATCTCTGTCTTGTCTGTTACTTACTTTTGGCTTTCCCCAAAATTGGCAACTAAAGAGAGAGAGAGAGAGAGAGAGAGAGTGTGTGTGTGTGTGTGTGTGTGTGTGTGTGTGTGTGTGTGTGTGTGTGTGTGTGTTAACGCGAGAGTTAATTTTGGAGAAGGAAAAGATTTTTACTTTATATATTAGTCATTAATTTATTACTTAGGTAAGTTTGAGGTTTTTATAGCTAAACATTTTAAAAATTACTAAATCACTTGGCTTCTCTGGTTTGCTTCGGCTTTCTGTAGTCTGTCTGCAAGTTAGAAAAGAAAGCTTTTTCTTTTTTGCAAGTTGTAAAGAAAGCTTTCTTCAATTGAAAAAATTAAGTTGGGAAGGGAAATTATTTTTAATGCATAAAGAAGTAAGCAGTTTTTCTTACGTACACAATATTAATTTTAAATAAAAACTGTACACATTTTGCCAAAATTGGGGTTAAGTGATGCTGTTTAGGTTTATAAGAAATATATTTATAATTTATACTCTCAAGTATCCTCAAGATAATTTATGTTAATAGTTACTGTGAGACCATCATTTCATATTTAATATAAATATTTGGTATGGAACCAGAATTTACTTTTTTCTTTCACTGGTTTTTTTTGTAATTGAAAAACTCATGGAAAGAAATTTTCCAAAGCCTCCGTCAAGGAAATAGTTGTTGAAGATAGGAACAAGTCTAAATTTTATGACTTAAACTGCTTTAAGAGCTAATATTTTTAGTAACTTCTATTTACAGAGTCAGTCACATATAATAAGCTGTGCAGGATTTGACAGTTCTGGTGTGTAACTTTTATTCAGATCACTGACTATGGCATGTGTACTACATGGATTTTAGAGTTGGGTTATTGTAATTTAGATATTTAAAGTACATTTTTTTGGTGGATGGTGGTAACTTTTACAACATAAATGTTTACCTGAAACAGTTTAATGAGACTTTATTTGGTATTTTAAAACCTTTTTTTAGAGGCCAGGTTAACATTTAAAGGAACTTAATGTATAATAAACAGTTTGCTACAGTTTCAAGGTTTTATGCTTATTTCAGAATTCCGATTTTGAGATGTCAAAAACATTAAAATCAGGTACAGCGAGTATAATTCTGGTATTTTTGATGTCCTAGAATAAGACGTTCTAGATTTTTCAGGTAAATTTGAAAGTTTCTTTCCCTTACCTGGGGGTAGGGGTGGCAATAGAGAGAATAAAAATAGGTTAATATGAATTATTTTCAAAATATATCCTTATCTGCTAATCTGTAAGGGCAGTAGCCCTTAACTGTAGAGTGAGGTGAGAAAGGACCTAATTAGTGGTTTAGTTCTTCACACTTCGTAGTGAAATTTCATATCAGATAAACTGCATGGGGAAAAAGAAATCAGATAGAAAGCTTATTAAACTGGAAATTACATCAGAAAATTATACCATCAACAGCACAGGATTTTGTATTATGTTAACTTACTACTGACTTAGAAGGAAGAATTTATCAAGTGTTGCTTTGTTGGAAACTTGCTAAATTCCTGTAGAGTTTTTCATATATCTGTGTAGCCTTGACCCTGATTTGTCATAAACATTGAAGGTTATGGGCATGGAGATACCTTTTTTGTTTGTTTGTTTTAATAGTAATGAATAAAATGCACTTTCAGTTATATAGTTCTTTAACATTACTATTTGGGGACAAAAATCCGAGTGTATTTTTATTGCAGTTTAGTTACAAGTAAGTATATATTTTCAAACACTAACCTATAAAATAATTGATATTAGAAAAACATTCAGATATACGTTTTTTGTTAGTTAAACTAAATGTGACAGATTAATTTATGGAACCTGAAGAATTTCTCAGTGAGCTTTTAAAAATCTGATTATGCACTGCAAGCAAAGAAATAATGCGTTGTTGTACTAAAGAAGATAGCAGCGTGATTTTGAAATAAGTGGAGAGGAAAGAGTTCCAGTGGAGTAAGTTCTATAAGAAAAAACGTATTGTGTTGCTGTAAGCAGCCCTCTGTTAACTTCACTGACTGCATTCCTTTTTTGATGCTGTAGAAACAGCATTAATGACAGAAACGAGAAAACCTCAAAATTAAGGTTTATGAAAAGTGTTTTTTTCAATTTGCTGTTTTTTAGTGCAGACAGTAATGTGAGAAGATCCTAAGCTGTAAAAGTAATGTTTGATGTGTAATAGTTTCATACATACTAAGCATTAGCTTTTGTTAAGTAAACATGCCATTTCAAAATAAAATATACTTTCATTATATTCGTCCAAATGTGACCTCTTTTTTTTTGTTGTTGTTGCGTGCATCTCAGATTTCTTTTTATAAATGTTAGCACTTAGAAAGAGATAAGGTCATATGTAACAAAGTGTCAGCCTAATCATCAGTCATAACTTTATGTCCACATTTTCTGGTAGATGGATTTTGACTATTAATTTGGTTTTGTATGTTTTCTCTATGTGATATTTGTGCATTATTAGATGACTAGACTGGCCAAGGCAGACCTGTTACACTTGCCTGAGTTAGGCATTGTTTGCCATGCCACTAAACCTGCCGTCAAGTGAAACCTTCATTGGGGAAATGAAATCGGAGTCTGAACCGCAGAAGATGGACGCCCTGTCTCTGTTTTTTATTGTTTTACTTTAATTTCATTTCTTTTTCTTTATTTTGTCCCTTTTTTTTGTTGTTTTTGTTTTTGTTTTGTTAAATCTCTTTCACTTTAACTTGTGAACTGGTTTTCCAGTTCTTTGTAAATGATATTTCATTAAAGGTTCATAACATTGTGTTGCAAATTGTGTTGGGAGATGATTAGCAGAGCTCAACCTTAAGATAAAGTAAATTTTCATGCAGCAAATTAGAATACATTGTTTAGAAGCTCAGTGTGAGTCTTAATTGGTGTTGATAGACTGACTGATCAGATACATTTTGTTCTTGAAACACTAAAACTGGTAAGAATCTTAGGAACACTTTCTGATGTCAGTTGCAGTTTCTTTCCTGGGTTTGCATCTGTCATAAAAATTAGCTGGATAGCTCCTAATTTTTATCCTTCCCTTTACAATTTTAGGAATACACATTCATTAAGGAAAGTAAAAAAATTTCGTATAATAATCCGAGGGTAGAGGAAAAGAGACTTACTATACAAGAACTTATTTCTCTCATTTATGAAGACTTTCAGCTGCTTACTTGGGGAATGGATACTTGAGAAGCTGTTATTTATTTGCACGTGTGTTTTTCTGTTTGCTTGAGCTTTTTGTTGACACAAATCTTCAGAGGTCCCTAGCTTTTAAATGGATTCTGAGATTCAGACTAGTACTTTCATACTGTTTTTCTCTAAGTTGTCTTTGAGGAGAATAGTTTGAGAAAAATGCTAAATGCTTATTTGTTTCATACTTCTATACACTTTGATAGTATTTGGAGGTAAATTTGATACCTTGGAAATTAGCAATGGAACTTTTTTCTTTTTTAAAGTACCTTTAATGGTGATTAGAAAAAAGTATTACTGTGTTTCTAGTTAGACTTAAAGATTTAAATAGTTTATTACTAGGACAGGCAAACAACCTACTGATACTTTATTTAAGCCGTAAATGAAAAACTGTAATATTAAGTAGTCAACTTTTTGCCTGTGTTGAATACCTCTTGTTTGTTCTGTGGATAGTTTTGCTTGTTAATTGACAAGTAATATTAAATTTATAGCATTACTAGATAGGAACTAGACATAAATCGGGGTTACTACCTAAGCATAGGGTTTGCACCTAAGAGTCTCAGTTAATTTATCAAGATGTATTCAGGTTTTGCAGATTCGTCATTTAAAAAAAAAAACTTCTTTATAAACTGATAATCAGTTCTGATATCAGTAAGTAGAATAGTATATATGTGGGTATATAGAGATACATGTGCTAACGTTAGTAACTAATTAAATGAATTATTATTTGATGTCTTTAGTAAGGTCTACTGATTATCTTTATGCATGTTAAAAAAACTATGCTTTTGCAGAATTTACATTGAAATAACAAAGTAACTTTGTTTTTGAAGTTAGTTAATTAAAGTACTATAGACTTAGATGTTGCAAAGCTTAGAAAAAAGTAGACATTTGCTAAAGCTAATTAACCAAGTTTTATTCTGTTCCTATAAATAAGGCATACCCATTATTTAAAGCAAGTTTTAAATTAAATCTGTCTTGAATTCCATCCATGTTTAGAGATATATTCAGATGGTATTGTTTAAAGGTTTATCCCTGCACATTTGGTGATTTTAAATAGGATTTTTACCATTAAAACCTAGCATGGTGCTTTTAAAAATTTACTCCATATGTTATAAATAGTTTAGCATGATTTTGTACGCTGTGTTTTAAATTACTTTTAGAAAACTCATAGTGAAAATGTGTAGCCAACTACCATATGAGTAGTCCCTCTAAACTATCTATAGATTGTCAATTTTTTAAGAAATACTTTTTTTGGGTAAGATATGAGGAGGAAAAATATGTGAATGTTGTAGACCTTATCAAAAGTAATTGATTAGAATTCAGTAATTAAATATGGCAAATTGAAGTGCTTATTTCAGAGTATATTTTTCATTTTTTAGGTTATAACATTTTTTTCTTTTCTAAGATTAGTGTTACTGTTACTGTTATTAGCAGTTAAAATGTTTATAAACAAGATGTTTAGGTGTTAACCACCCCTCTTCAGATAAGTATACATAAGTCCAAGTCTAAAATTTAACTTTTTAAGAAAGTACCTGAGATTAGGGAACTTTTTTCATTTGTTGTTATTCTCAAAAATTTTAGCATTTATCCAAGATGTGTTTTCAGAATGGGGTTCTTTGAAGCATCTATTATGTTATTGGTGAGCTGCTTTATTAACTGAATGGGTATAGTCTTCCTTTTAAATTGAAGGTGATTCACGGAATAGGTTTTTGTTTTTCTTCTGTCTACTGAAATTAAATGGATTCCTTTGGAGGGTTATCAAAATTGTTTGCATCACAAGTAGGTAGTTTCAGTAACAGGATAGGGCACTCATTAAGGAACAAATTTCAATTCGCACATATTTGTTTTTTCTTTTTCTTTTTTTTTTTTACTAATTTGGTTATTTGCCATTTCTGGGGATTAAACTTTAAAAAATGTTCTTCTTTTCTGTATCTGATGTTCTGTGTGCTATTAGTGATGCAGCCAACACGAACGGTTGTCATGTGTAACACAACTTTCGATCACCGCGAAAACACCGTCCTGGGAAAGCGTCCATGCTTGATATCGTTTGGTTCATGAACATTAAGTTTCCAGTACAGGTGACCCATAGCTCAAAGTGTTAAATAATTGTCTACATTATTCAATTTTATAATAATATTCCATTAATGAGATTGTTAGTCTTTTGAAGTTTTGCTCACTTTTATTTTTCCTAGTAGAGCAGGATAAAAGGAAAGACTTAAGTTCTTATTTATTTCTTTGTATGGATCTGATAGATAGATTCATTTATTATTATTATTTTTTAAGTACAAGGGTAATTGTAAAATCATAGTGTAAAGTTTGTGTGGTGTTTCTGCTTTTTGTAATGTTTGGAATTTGCCTCTGCAGGTAAAATCCCAGAGGAATCCAAAGCCCTTTCTTTATTGGCTCCTGCTCCAACCATGACAAGTCTGATGCCTGGTGCAGGGTTGCTTCCCATACCAACCCCAAATCCCTTGACTACCGTAAGTGTTATAAGCCTTCTTATAAAAGGGACAAATGTTCAGCTCAGTAATCATTTGAATAAAGATCTTACAAAACGATTTCCATTTCAGATCTATTATGTTTTAAAAATGGAGAGGATTCAAAAACTCTACTTAAATTTTTTTTCTCAAAGTATCACTGATTTAAGCTTCCTTTTGTAATTGACTATTTATTTGAATTTGAGAACGCAAAAGATTATTCATTAGAAAATCAGCTGTTGAAACTCAGCATTTTAGATAGTATGGGGAATTGGAAGATCTATGTAACTGGATTTCTCAGTTCATGAGGGCTAAATCCATCCAAAAGACATGAAATGATCCACAATCTTGATAACTGGAAAAAATATCTCAGAAAAGCATTGTCTGACATTGAGAAAATATAACGGGGTGAAGACATGGCCAGGATATTTTTTGATTAGCTGTGAGGAGTTAAGTAGTAATTTAATGCTTCCTTTGTGATTTCAAAGTGGGGTTAGAAAAAAAGATTTTACTATTACTGGGACTTTTGGATTTTTATATAAAAGATTCTGGTTATACTTATTTTTTTTAAAAATTCCATTTTTCCTCTCTAAAATAAACCCAAAACAAAATCCAAAACTTACCTTAATTGAATGTTAAATCTAGATTTGTGGTGATAGGTAGTGATTTCATAGGATGTAGTTAACTCATTCAAGTAATAAAAGTGGTTTCTGAAACTGAAGTGCAGTACTTAAGCCTTTTAATTTTTACGTACCATCGTTCTGCCAGAGACCTTTTAAATTGAGTATCTGATCATTTGAGCAGGACTTTCTGGAAATTTTACTTATTTTAACATACTAATTCTAATTCCAGGATAATCACTTTTTTCCCTTTCCCTAGAAAATACTTCCCTATCTTGAAAATTCTTGGAGTTTATTTGGCAATAATGTAAACTTTTTATTATTTAATTTGTTGCCTTGAGGGGAAATGGCTTCCTCTTGATTCAGCTGTAGACATCTGGTATTGGAAAACTTAGTTTATGAAGAATAATTTCTGGTAGAAAGGGTAGCCCATTGTGATCTGGCCCCTGGTTACCTCTCTGACCTTTTTTTCTACCTCTGTTGATTGGCTCACTGTACTTCAGCTATATTGGCCTTGTTGTTTCTTGGATATGCCAAACATATTTCTGCCATAGGGATTTTGCATTTATTTCTTCTGCCTAGAACATTCTTTTCCATAGATTAAAAGGATCACTGTTTCATGTAAGCTTCTATTTAAAAGTCACCTCCCTAGGGAGGCCAGGGCTTTTATGTCAGATTGCCAAAGTGTTAACATTCAGAGTTCAGGTAGTCTTTTGCCCATCAAAGACCAGAAGGGATGGAGACTATATACAATCCTTGGACCAGGACTAGAGGATACACTAGTCTAAGAACAGTACTTTTATAGTCACAGAGCAGCCCTGTCCAATAGAAATTTCTTCAGTGATGGAAATGTCTGTATCTGTACTAATATGGTAGCCAATAGACTCATGTAGCTGTTGAGTACGTAAATATGACTAGTGTGATTGAGGAACTGAATTTTAAGTTTTATTTAATTTTAATTAATTTAGATTCAAATAACCATATGTGGCTAGCATATTGGACAAGACAGGTATAGAAGAATGATGTAATGAAAAGTAGAGAGACAGGAAGAAGTTCTTAAAGAACTGAGTAATCTTTAACATTTGAAAAACAAAAGGGTTAGATTAGATGATTTGGAAAAGCTCTTTTCAAATCTATAAATATATGACTCAGTGGAGAAGTTTGCAGGTCAAAGGGATTGACAGCTGGGAATACCTGGAAAGGACTGTTCAATGCTTTAAATCCATGCAAAGCTAATAAACAATAAGAATAATATTTGTGATTTAGCTAAACTATGATAATTCTCTTGCACAGTTAAAAAAAAAAAAAATTAAGGTATGACCTTCAATCGTCTGAGTACCTTAGACCTTAGAAGACAAAAACCAAAAAAACCCCTTGCCATTCAGTCGATCTTGACTCATAGTGACCCTATAGGACAGAGTAGAACTGCCCCCATGGCGTTCCCAAGGAGCAGCTGCTGGATTTGAACTGCCGACGTTTTGGTTAGCAGCCGAGCTCTTAACTGCTAACAACACCAGGGCTAGAGAAAGGGGTATGATTACAGAAGCAATACATGGAGAAAGGCTAGGCCCAGAGGGTGGTAGTCTTGACTCAGAGATGTCTCACACATTTAACTAAGGTATTTCCACAACTGTGTGATATCTTGAAATGGTGGTAGTAAGCAACAAGTCTAAGATCTGTCAGTAGTCAGGTGCCACAGATTGTAACAAATACTATGAAGGAAAAAAAGAGAGTTGTGTAGAGAGTAAATGCTATGGTAGAGAATAAATCAGGCTTTATATAGGTCAGGGAAAGCCTCTTGGAGGTGATGATTTATCTGACACTGGAAGGATTCATCGGGCAGAAGCTGGAGGAAGAGCTTTCTAAGCAGAAGGAACACCAAGTGGAAAGCCCTAAGGTGGGAAAAACTTGTGTGTTCAAGGAACAGAATGGTGGTCAGTGTGGATGAAGCATAGTGAATGAGGTGGGAGGATAGTGTGTGTTTTGAGATGAGATTGAAGAGATAGATAGGACACTGATTATGTAGGTTTTTTTAGGCCATGGAAAGAAGTTTGAATTTTATTCTAAATTTAATTAGAAGCCATCAGTGGATTTTAAGCAGAAATATAACATGATTTGACATGTTTTAAAAAGATGGTACTGGCTGCTGTGACAGACATAAGTGAAATTGGTTTCATAAACTTGAATTTTCACCTTCATGAAGTGTTGTCACTTAAGAGTTATTAAATCTTAGTAGTTTTATAACACATACTTGCACATATAGGCAAAGCTCACATTTTTATTGAGTAACATGAGTGGAAATGGAAGTGGTGGTATGCTTCTTTTCCTTGAAAGATGTTTTTGTTAATTCTGAAATTTTTCCCGTTTCCAAATGTAGAGATTTTTTATCTCTTCTAGTTAAGTTTCACTAAAAATAATATGTTCTTTATGCTTGAACTAAAAACTGACTTCAGTAATGTTATGGAAAGATCATTCAAAGAGTTTTGTCATTCTCCTACCATAGTATAAGTTGGGGTTAATGTTTTAAATTTCTTATTTAGGCAAATTTTGCATCTATTTAAATTTTACTCTGTGCACGGTGGTACCCTGCCTTTACCAGTTGGTAGCTGAGTAGCTTTGGGCAAGTTATTTAACTTCTCTAAGTCTTTTTCTTATGTGTGAAATTGGCATTATAATAAAACCTGTCTCTTAGGATCGATATGAGGATGAAGTTAATAACCCAGAAAAATCATATGCTGTGATTGTCATTGACTATTAGGAACTCATTTATGCAGTCAGCGTTGAGTGACCACGACATGTTTTTAGTGTCAAGTTTAAAAGTCGTTAAAATACCCAGATACTTAAGAAATATGTTTCTGATTACATTCAAAACTGGTATGACCTTGCTCTCATAATAATTCAGAAATATATGTGACTTAAAGTTAGGAATATCTACACTCCTTCCATTCTTGTTGAGTTAGTTGATTGGTTCTCTTCAAGATTAGAGAATGCTAACTTTGGATACTAATAGAAAATAAGTGCTTTTTTTTTTTTTTTTTTTTATTGTGTTA